GCGGCGCGGCAGCTCCTCGCGAAGTTCGTTCACCTTCAGACGGCGCACATCCATGGCCCGGGCCCCCGGGGCGGCCCCCGAGCCCGGCCCGGCCTCTTTCAAAAGAACGGCAATGAGAGCTCCCAGAAGCAGCTGGGGAGGAAGCGTTGGACTACGTCGAAGCCGGAGCGGAGGGCGGGAAAAGTCAGGAGGTGGAGCGCGCGCTGATTGGGTAGCGCCCGCGCGCCAGCTGCCGTAGGGTCAAATGAGGAAAAGGGAGTAACAGTTTGGACCAATCAGCAATGAGATCTCAGAATGAGCGCCCCCCCCAACTCTCCCCCGCCTCACGGCCTTTCCTACGCAGTCCTTTCACAAACGAAGTGTCTCTGTAACACACATTCTGAATGGTCCAGATCTCCCGCCCCTTGGGGGGGGGTCCGAGCGGGTAATCATTAGAACCAATCAAACGCGGGGTCGGGAGAAACCCCACCTTCCTGATGCCTTTAAGTAACCGGAAAGAGAAGGATTCACAGAGGGCCCGCCCCTTGCCGTTAGGGCGGTTTCAAAACAATCTGTCCACCAATAGTAGTTATTGTCTTATCCGATTAAAGCCGATATACGTGAGTCGCTTTAGGAAAAGCTAACCAGATTGGCCACTGTTCAGAGGATGGCCTCACAAATTTTACTGTAGAGGGAGGTATACAGAATAGAGATTAAGTAGATATTTTATTCATCTTCCTGAAGAACAAAAAATATTGCTTATGAAAGCAAAATTTGAACTTCAGCAAGTCCTGAAGGCTTGGAAATAGAGGCTAGACTGACAAGGCGAGAAAAGCTGTAAAGGAAATTGCACCCCCTTCCCTTCGAGAGTACATGTCGCCTCTTTCCACGATGCGCTTAGCGGCCGTCTTTCTCTATGGTTGGTACCTTACGTGAAAGGGCGCTCTGTCCGCGACCATCGAGCTTCCCCCTCTGGAAAGACTTCTAAAAGTTGGCTGCCCGCTATTCCAAATCCTCGAATCTGCTGTTCCGTAAATCTGGCTGTTTGGCGTCTCTAGCGACCAACTCAAACTTAGGGATCCGCATTAAGCCTCGCATCAGTAAATACAAATGCCAGTTTCACAATACCTAACGCTGCACCACTTGTCGCCTCTAACTCAGAACTTCGAGATACAGAGTGCAGACGCTCATAGGCCACACCTCCGCCCACGAAAGCCACACGCCACCTCTGCGTAGACAAAGACACACATCGCACGGATGAACGGGAGGCGTGAGTCAGTTCAGAGGCATCACTCGGATAACACACCAAACTGCGGTGTAGATATGCCCACTAAGGTCCTCACGGGCGAGCAACATCAAATGATAGAAACACACAGGACAATTGCGCTACCAAGTTTACAACAACTCAGACACACGACACCCACTCAGAAGCGGGACAGACACTCACGTGGGTCCGGAGGTTCCAGTCCAGACACCCCGCCCCTCGCCCACGTCCGACTTCCTCTCTCCTCCCAGCTTCCCACAATGATTTGTTCTAAAAAAGTTTGTGGCCCGGATTGAACTGTCCCCAGTTCTCAGGAGCCACCACTGGGGGGCGTCCGGGCGCTGCCAAGGTTCCTTCTTCCGTTTTGAGACACACCCGGGAACCCGTGCCCCGGAGGATTGCCGGACGGAGGGGCTGTCTGAGCAGGAGTCCCGGTGACCTGTGGCTATCAGGTGTTCTGTGCCTGTATTTTTATGTGAGAACGAGAGTTTGGACCTGTGAATCCCAGCTGTCCCTGAGTATTTGTGTCACTTTATCTGTTATTCAGTTCTCTTCTTAGTCCTGGTGGGTGTCTGCCTGTGCATATGTTTGTATCTGTGTCATTTTGTGTGTCCCTGCTACTGTTTCTGAATTTCAGTGTCTGTATTTGTGCCCAGGTGTGCTGAGTACGTTTATTAATTCTTGTGTCTGTTAGTTTGCATGTGCGTTTGTGTGTGACCTATGAGTATCTATAAGCCTCTTTCTGACTAGGGGTCTCTGAGACTGCATGCATTTGCTCGTGTGTCCTTTTTGCTTCTGTGTATATTCATTTCTGTTCTCTCTAGAGAGAGAATTCCAAGACCCTACTTTTTTTCTGTTTACTCATGGGGAAACTGAATTGCCAGAAAGATGAGCGGCACCACGACTGAATGGAGACCAGAAACAGAAGCGCGATTACAAAGTTTTATATGAGCCCCTCTGGAGGCACCAGAGTCCACACTCTGTACAAGGGGGTGAGGGACTGGCTCAGGGGAGCAGCATGGCGTAACGGCCTGAAAGGAGAGATGTCATCCATCCCCTGGAGGAAAGGCGGCACCCCTAATGCATTGCACAGGCTTGAGGGGGGCAAACCCCACATGAAGGGAGGAAGAAGCAAAGGAGGCTAAGATGGGGAGAGGCACACAGAATGCTCTAAGGTTAGAACCTTGGACTCATACCTAATGTTCTACAAGAGTCTTAGAAACTTAGAACATTTGAGTCTCAGAATGACAGTGCTTGGAACCTGAAGATTCTGGAAATGTGGATTCTTGGACCCTTAACAACAAATCTAAAAAGGTAGAATTCAACATAGAACTTACAGGTGTCTGATGTTAGAAATGATTAAAATGTCGGTGTGTAGTTAGTTACTGAGAGAGTCATAACTTAAATGTTTAGAATCCAGAATCTTGGACCAACAGAATTTAGAGTGCCTTGAAACATAGAAAGGACCAACATTAGAATCTTAGAGTTTAATAAGTCTAGAATCTTGGAGCATATGATCTATAATTTTAGACATAGTGTGACTCTTAGAACATCTTAGAACATGAAACTTCAGAGCCTCTGTCTTTAGACTCTTTGAACTTTTTTTTTTTTTTGAGAGAAATTTTGCTATCGGGTACGTGTACTCTCCAGAGATATAGAGAGACAGGAAGACAGAAAGTACGAAATCTCCCTCTGAGAGGATGGCCACACCACAATCCCTTCTCCTTCATTCTCCTCTTGCGATTCTGGGCACATATGCACATGCACCCAGCATTGAGTTTTAAGCCGAGTCCAGGACTCTAACTGTGGTCAGCCACATGGGAGTCTAGTGCCTTAACCACTACGCCACCAACTGGCTCCAGACTCTTCGAACTTCTGAATGGTAGATTCTATAATCTTAGTCACTTAAGATCCATGATTTTATACAAGAGAATCCATGACCAGAAAACTTCAGAGGCTATAAACTTAGAACGTGAGAAGATCAAATTTTGAAGCCTTATGACCTAAGGTTGTATAGCCAGAAGATTTAGACTTTAAGAACCTTAGAACACTAGATTTTAGTATAGTAGACCTCAGAACCTTCGTGTAAAGAATTATAGACTCTAGGATGTTGTACCCTAAGAACACAGAAACCCAGAAAGATAAAATCTAGGATCACAGCTCCTTAGAGTCTAGAACTAGAGTCTTAGAGCTGTAGAACCTAAAATCTTGGGGGGGAGGGCTTATCAAGGACTAGAAGAACTGCAAGTGTAGAGTCACGGCTCTCAGAGCCTTAGAATAGCAGGCTTTAACTTCCACACCTAGAATCTGAGCACTTTGTAATTGGAGACTTTGGAATTTTCGGACCCTGGAACCAAAGACTCACAGTATCTTTGAAACCTAGAACCTTTTAATCTAGACCTTATAAACCTTAGAATCTAGAATCTTGGAATGTTGGACCCGGGAAGACCTTTAGAGATTGCAGTCCAACCCCTCCCTTTTACAGATGGAGATGCCACAGTGCAGAGAAGTGGAAGAAACTGTCTGGAGTGGAGGTGGGTAAGAAGACAGGGCTGCAGTTGGGCTACGGCCTGGAGTAGGAAAGTGGAAGAGTGGGGTTTCCCCCAGTGGCAGTGCCTAGCTTGGGTCCTGAGAAGGAATCCTAGGTGAAAGGTTGTCTCAGGCTCCGTCTTCCTGCCCTGGGGGTGTTGGGGAGCCCCTGTCAGTAGGCAGAGTGGGGCCAGGAGCAGTAGAAGGGCAGAGGACATAGCGTCCAGCAGGATGAACCTCAGCTGCAGTGAGGCAGCTACAGGAATCCTTAGGATCAGCCTGGGTTGGTGGGTCAGCTCCTCCAGCAGCTCCAGGGGGTTCAGGACGACCTCCACCCTCATCCATGTTGACATAGAGGATTTCGTCAGGCTCCTGGGCAGGGGGCAAGGCCTTTAGTGTGTTCTCCAGGTCTTCCCGCAACTCTGCAAAGCTTGGCCGGTCCCGGGGATTTAGTTCCCAGCACCGGGACATCAAGACATACCTAGGAAAGCAAAGTGAAGAGTGAAAGACTGAATAGGGACTCAAGAGGAGCATTCTCAAAGTTTGGGGACACTTACAGACACTCAGGAGACTGTGGTCTTTTCAGTGGGCTGGAGGGAACCTTAACAGTTTGGGGGCATCTATGGAGATTTGGAAATTCTCAGGAGTTTCTGAGGCAGATCCTAGGAAACTTAGAACTGGGCAGGGTCTTGGGAAACCCCTCTGGGGATAGGGTGGTGTAAAATGAGCCTTTGCTGATGCAGTGTGGCTCCCTAGAACACACTCTGGCATTATGGCCTGGTTCTGCCACTTATGAGATGCTCTGATTTAAATTATGTGCCCAAGGGCTGGACACATCTTTGAGGATGCACAGGGAAAATTTCCAGGTTTGCCTTCAGAGAACTCGCCAGACATGTTTGGGGCATGCATGGCCATGATCCTAAACTGGCTGGAGCTAGGGGTGGATTGTGGCATGAGGACCCTGTTGGGAGTTGCCTGTCTGTCTTTGACTCTGTCTCTTCTGCTCATGGACGAAAGAAAGAAATGTAAGTAAATAAATAAAGTCCACAAATCACTGACATGCCTCCCTCAGAAAATGGAGACTAAATATCCTTTGCAGGTGTGTGTATGTGTGTGTGGGAGAGCGACTTCTGAGACTGGTCATAAAACGTAGTCTCAGAAGGTTACCGCAGCTCGTTTCCTGCATTTTCTCTCCCATTGCCATGTTGTGCGGAAGCTCAAACAGCACTATGGAGTGTTCCACGTGGCAGGGAACTGAGGCCTCCTACCTCAGCCATGTGAGTGAGCCACCTTAAGAGTAATCTTCCAGGGCCTGCAGTTGGTGTGGCAGTTGGGGCGGCTGAATCATACATGGCCAATTGCATGGTTCAAATCCCAGACCCAGACGCTTGAAAAACAAGCCAGGCACTTGAGCACGCATGCCCAAAATCCCAAGAGGAGAATGGAGGAGAAGGGACTGTAGTATGGCCATCTGCTGTGAGGAGTGCTTTCTCACTGTCCCTGCTCTGTCTCTGGTGAGTGCACACATCCATAGTGGGGCAGGCAGGAACGATCTTCCAGTCCAAACCTTCAGATGACTACAGCCCCAACAGGCATCTTGACAGTAACCTAATTAAAGACCTTAACCCAGAATCAACCTGTTCAGCTATTCCCAGACTCCTAACCCGAAACTGTGTGAGGTAATGTTTATGTTTTAAGGCACTAGATTTTGGAGTATAGGTAACTCATATACCAGCTGTGCAGCCTTTGGCAAATGACTCACCCATGTTGTAGGCTCAGTTTTCTCATCTAGAAGATTAGAATAATGATATCTAGTCACCTCGTGTGGCTGTGGTGAGGGTTGAATGAGTTCATACACATAAAGCACCTAAGACTGTGCCTTCTAGTAAATTCTATAAAAATGTTAGCTATTTTTCTTACTCTTGGAGTACCCAAGGGGACTAAGGGGAGTTTGAAGCCCCAGGCTTTCCTCTCCTGACCCAAATAGTATCTTCTCTATCTTTTTAAAAATATTTTTAGAATTAATTTATTATTACTGTTATCGTTATTATTATTTTAGTTAGCTATAGGGCATGAACACTCACCAGAGAGAAACAAAGAGAGAGAGAGGGAAAGTGAGAAAGCAAGCTGCCAGGTCCAGGACTCAAACCATGGTCAGCCATATGGAAGCCCAATGCCTTAACCACCATGCCACCTGTTGGTTCCATAACATCTCTTTATCCTCAAGGTGCAGGCTAAACGTCAGGCCCTTTTCTGCATGCTGGGCTATCACATAGCTTAATGAACATGTCCTAAAGGATCCTGCAAACACCTCAGGAGGCCTGAGAGTCTGGAGGAGGCCAATAAAGCAAACTCAAGGTTTCTGAGAGGGTCCTGGAGTGTGTGGGGAAGCACTGAGGGAAGCATGGAGGCACTCAGGAATCTGGAATGAACTAGAAGTTTTGGGGAGTGCTGGTTCTAGAGGCAGAGGCAGAGGTAAGGTTGTGCAATTATTCACTGGCCTAGGATACCTGGCTGAGCTGTCCACGCACAACACAAAAGAGGATAGGGCACTGTTGGCTGATTTGCACCTTGTCATTAGCAGTGCTCCCACTTGGAGCATCAGTGAGGGACAGCATTCTGAGGGAGTCTGTGCGGGTGTTAGAGGGGCCTAGCTATGTTCGGGCCATGCAGGGGTGCTCAGGGGTCTGCAGTGAACTCTGGGATTGGGGGAGGGAGCCTAAGGTCCTCACAGTCCATCCAAACAGTCCACGGGCTGCTTCAGGCGATTTCCCTGGCGCAGGTAGTCATAGATCTCACTGTTCTCCACTCCTGGGTATGGGGTTTGGCCCCGTGTGGCGATCTCCCACATTGTCACCCCGAAGGACCACTGGGAGGGCAAAAAGGGAGGGAATTAGGGGGTCTGTCCTGCATACCAACATGCACATTCACAGGCACCTACACTTACACACATGTTCACAGCCTCCTGACAGGCACATCACAGGTGTTCATAGAGACACTTTGGCGTGGGTGCACACACGTACAGGTAATACGGCAGGTGTACTGACATGCTCATCCATACACAAATTTACTACCTCGTGGATACATGACCACAGTGTCACCTTCCACACCCATGCTGCAGACACACGCATGCACGGTCACTGCCCCTTCTCCTCCCCTGGGCTGTCCACACTGCCACCATGCACATGTGGATCTGGGTAGCCCCCTGGCATGTACGCACCACCATTTCATCACACGCCCAGACAGGCCAGCCCAGGTGGGCAAGCTCCTGCACAGGGACGTCCGTGTTTCCCTTTACTGAGTGAGATGGGTCAGGCCAGGCCCTCCCACCGTTTCCAGTCCGGAAGGGAGCTCGCATACCACGTCACTCTTGCTGGTGTAGACGCGGTCAGCCAGGCTCTCGATGGCGATCCACTTGACTGGCATCTTAGCAATGCGTCCCTGGCGGTAGTAGTCCCCATTGTAGATCTTCTTGGAGAGCCCAAAGTCTGCCACACACACCGACATGTTCTCGTTCAGCCTGCCCAGATCAGGAAGAGAAACAGGGACAGCGTATTGGCCACCTCCACCAGGAAGCCTGCCCTGGCTCTCAGACTCATCATCTCTACCTCCTGCCCTTGTCTCCTGCTGGAGAGTCAGGTATTTCCTGTACCCTCCTCCCACCATTCCCAAGGGAATTGCTTTAACATCCAGTTCCTTCTGTAAAATGAGGGTGAGACAAAGGGCTTCTAAGCACTTTTCTGCCTGTTTTTGTTGTTGTTGTTGTTTATTCGTTTTTTTAGGAGTTTCTGCCTTGGGGCACATGTACTAGCAGGGGTGTGGGTGAGGGGAGAGACAGAGACAGTGAAAAGGAAAGTGAGGACTCACCCCCCTGGGGGGGATGACCATGTTGCAATCCCTTCTCCTCAACTCTCTCCCTGGATCTTGGGCATGCACACACACGCCTGGAGTGATTTTGAAGTCACCAGGTCCCAGACTCAAACCGTGGTCATGTGGGAGTCCAATGATGTAACTGCTGGACCCCCAACTTTGGCTTTTTGCCAAATTCCAAGGGCCTTCCTAGGCTCCTTGGGATAAATTCTTTGATTTTTAAATTTTTTTTCTTGAGTGTACTGCACATGCAGAATGTGTACAGATTATAAGTGAACAGCTCACTGAATTGTCACAAGCACAGTCATGTAATCAGCACTGGGGCTGGCAGGTGGCATGGTGGTTGCAGTGCTGGACTCCCACATGGCCAACCACGGTTCGAGTCTTGAACCTGGCAGCTTGCTCTCTGACTTTCTCTCTCTCTCTCTCCTTCTCTCATCAAAAAAATAATAATAATAATAACAAATAAATATTTTTTAAAAATAAAAAAAAAAAAAAGAAACAGGACACCCACTGGACATTCATGCAGTGGAATACCACACAGCAAAGAAAACCAACTGGGGCCAGCAGGTGACATCATGATTAAGGCACTGGATCCCATGTGGTTGATTCTGTTTTTTGAAAAACACTACCGTGGCGGGGGCTGGCAGGTGGTGTGGTAGTTAAGGTGCTGTCCTCTCATGTGGCTAACCTGGTTTGAGTTCCGGACCTGGTGGCTTGCTCTCTCACTTTCCCTCTCTGACTCTGCTCAAAATAAAAACTGATAGGGAACCAGCAGTTAGCGTAATGGCTAA